GCAAGTTTCTGTTTTCCCAATTGAAGCTTTAAAAGTAACATATTAAATACTAACATTATCGATTTGTAATAAAATAGTCATTCTACGGTCATTTTCGTTAAATTGATGATGTGTCAATATTAAAAAAAGAATAATATTTAGTTTTACCTCTAAATTATTACTAAAACATCAAATAGGTCATTGAATAATAATTTTATATATAATTTATCCCAACTTTCTAATTTTCATTTTTTTCCAAATACCCCCACCACCTCCATTGTATTCCAAATAACCCTAAGCACTAAATTTTTAAACCAAACAACCTCACATATATAATCAAACACTTGATAGATTTCTACAATCGGACATTTTGTACCACTCCCAAAGGAAAAAGATACAGCTGAATCAAGTTCACAAGACTGATCATTTATAAGTACCTTATCAGCACTGAATTTCAGATTGTATCGAGAAAGGCTATGAAACAAACCCAGACTCATTTAGCTAACACAATCAATTTTGTGCAAACATGTAATAAGATTTAACTGAATGGTACAGAAGAATATCACCATAGAATTCGCATGTGAAGAGTATTAACAGACCGGTTGCTTCATATTCCCTCTTTGTTTCATCTCTACTCTCATTCTCGAGACATCACTCCATTTACCAGCAGAAGGATATATATTCGACAACAAAACATAAGGAACACTGTAACTCGGTTCTAGATCAAGAATCGATTTCATAGCTCTTTCAGCGAGTTTTAGCATGAATTTAAGAATCAATTTGGCAATTCATTTAAAAAGTTTGGTGGAAAATACTTGGGTTATTTGATTTAAAAATTGAGTTGTAAAAAATGGATATTAGAATTTTTTAGGGTAAATTAAATATAAAATCATTGTTTAAGGACCTATTTGGTATTTTAGCAGTAGTTTAAGAGTAAACTAAATAAATTTTTTTGTTAACATTGCCACGTCATCAATCTAATGAGGATGAAGGTGAAGTGACCATTTTGTTACAAAACGATAAAGTTAGTGACCAAATTGTTACTTTTAAAACTTTAGTGGGGAAAACAAAAACTTACACAAATATTAATGACTATTTGTGTAGTTTACTTAATAAAAAAGGCTAAAATACACAAATAGTCCATCGACTAAAATATACTATTTTGTTGAGTCCCTGATTATTACAAGTCCCGACTTAGAGAGTTGCTTAAAAGTTATAAAATGGTCACCCAACTATTATTTTATTCCAAACTTTTCCTTTTCCGTTAAAAAAATAATGGTCGTTTGAGTTGGACGTTAATATGTTGACTGAAATATGATAGTCGTTTGAGATTATGATATCATATTTTACCATATCTCAATCAGTGAATTAACATCCAACTTAGATTATTGTTAATTTTTAAACGTAAAAAGATAAGTTTGGAACATAATAAATAGTTGAGTGACCATTTTGTAACTTTTAATAGTTGAGAGATTAAATAAAGTAACTCCATGTAGTTGAAGGACTATTTTATAACTTTTCACCGTCGAAAGACTTAATGAAGTAGTATCCTCTAATTAAAAGATTATTTATGTACTTTATCTTAAAAATAATTAATAAGACAATGCTTAGCTTAGCTTCGTAGAATAGAAAAAAAATACAGAGAGGGAGAGCGAAGGAACAAAAGAGGAGGGTAATAACGAATATATATTTTATGAACATATAACTTTAAATTAAAATTTAAAGGGGCACGCTAATATTATACTAATAGTACAAATTTTGAAAAAAATATAGTTAACGTATAATTACTCTTAATAATTTTATATTTAAACAATTATATCTGTAAGATATTTGTACATTATTAATGGTTAATTTTTATATATAGACATTTTCTTTTAATTATAAAAAACCATTAAAAAATAAAATACGATTAATATTATTTTTATTGTATAGATAGATAAAATTAAAAAAGAGAGGAAAATAACATTTTTTTTAATAAATATACGTAAGTGGCAGACCCACGCCTAAAGTAGGGTGAGTTGTTTATTTTAAATTCTGAATTTTCTCTTATTTATTTTTTTATTTTATTGTTGTGTCCACCACGAATTTTATTTATGATCACTCATATACATAAAATATTTATATTTAATAGGGTATTAAATAGCATTCCGAAAACGTGATAGCGGTCGTGATATTGTGATCGCGTCACCGTTCAAAACCGGTTTTTATGTTTTTTGAGGTAGGTCATGGATTCACATCAATCTCAGTCGATTGCGCCCGTAATTTAACGGGAAACGGACGATTGCGCCGATAATAGGACGCAACAACCGTTATTCAACCGTGATTTGCCATATCTTCAGAAATACTCACTGCTGATCTCAACGGAGATTTGCCTCTCCAAGTTCTACTTGAAGAACCATCCTTTTCAAGTCCTTATGCAAAGCTCAGTTGCCGATTACGCAACAAAGATATCTCGTTGTCTAGTCAATCGATCGACACCCTTAGCTTGGATTTCGCATAGTTTTGCTGGGGAGAGGTTCTCTTTGTCGTTCATGGGATGCAGGGGAGATTGCTTCAATATACTTTTTGGTCCATCACTCGTGAACTTTGAGCGCAACACCAAGTTAGCGAAGACAACTCTACAACACCAAGATGACAGTCACGTCGCGAGGTAGTTGCAAGCCTGTAAGACGATTAACTTCACTGTTGACGAGCTTTGATGTGATCGATGGCGTGGTTATGGAAGAAGAGAAGCAACACACGAAGCTTAAAGGAAGAAAAAAAGGAAAATAGATGAAACACGTGGCCGCTCGATTGAAAGCAAGGAAAGAAAAAAAAAAGAGTGAAACAACATCCACTATTGGAGAAATAGGGCTAGAATTCTTGATATAATAAAAAATGAGTAATTCACATAATAAGTCCATGTATTCTCTAGGATTTTTTGAAAATGGCCAACACTTTTGCTTCTTTTACAAAATAGTAATCAAAATTTCTGGAAGTTTCAATCTAGTGACTCCACATGCAGTTTTGCTTTACCTCGATTCACTGCACTATCGGCCGTGAGATCGCCGCCTACAGAAGTCGCGACAGATAACCCCAACTGCGTGAAAATGTTCTAGAGTTGCCGATTCTAGTGTTTTTGTTATACTTATATTTATGATTCTGCTTTTATATTTTAATTTAATACAATTTAATTCATCTATTTTATAATAAGTAAGTTCAAATAGTTAATATAGTTCATTATTCAAATTAAAATGTTTACTTCATCTTTTCGCTTAGAAAACATTTTAAAGTCTATTTGGTTAAACTATATTATATATTTGTTTCAATTTCGCTTAGAAAATATTTTAAAAATCATTAAAAATGATTCCTTATAATTATAATTATTTTTATTATGTTTTAAGATAATGCAAAATTTACAAAATTTAAAAAACGACCTCGACACCCGTAGTGACCTCGATGACATCCGTTATGTCCACAACTACGATAAACGCAACTAAAAACGTGACCGCGAATGCTATTTAAAACTCTGATAGTTAATAAGTGTGTCCACCTTAAAAAAAACATTTATGGTCCGCCACCGATGTAAATCATATTTTTTTAAATGTGTGTTTTGTATAACATTACTTTATTGAGATGTCATATTTTTTTGACAAAATTTTAATGTTTGTGTTGTCCAATACTAAAATAAAAGAAATGATTAATATTAATCCTGAACTTTGAAATATTCCAATTGATCTCTCATTCAGAATAGGTTTCTAAATTTTTTAACATTCTAATTTCATCATCAAATTATCAATATATATATTAATTACATCATCGATTAATAAAATCATTAAAAATTTATTGACTGACATGTAAACACTCATGTGTATTATATAATAATATAATATAAAATAATGATGATTAATATTATATCATGTCTCCTGAAATTATTATTTAAAATAAAATTTTAAAAAAATTAATTTTTATTTTTGTTTCTTAGTTTATTTATAATTCTTTCTATGCTTTGAAGTTGAATCATAATATTATTCAAACTAAATTATATTATTATAGGATACATATTAATACTTATATAATAATTAACAATTTTTGTCGCTCCCCCCTTTTCTTTTTTCTCTAGAGTTTATACCGTTTTTATAGATCATATCATTTTTTTCTTCTTTAATTTTGTTTAGCCGGTGTTAACACCATTTTGATGTTAGTTATCGACCGCCAGTTCTCTTTTCTCTTTGTTACTTTTTTAGTTTTTAAATAAAAATAATTATACCTTTGTGACACTTTTTTTTTCTGTATTTGTAACACGTTTTTCGTCTTCTTTTTCGGTCGTTTGATAGTTTTTTTATTTTATGATTTTATCATGGTTGGATTTGACGACGCCACGACTGATCAATATGACGCTTATTTGTAATCCAGTTGATCTTACCTACTATGAACCCCCAGATTGAATTTGAATATGCAATTTTACGATCATAGATAATTTCTCACGATGCACGACTCTGATTTGTGGTTCTCGCGTCTTTCAATAGCTTAATCTCCTCTTATGATTTGTTTACCGATGCAATCAGATTTGATTGTATCTATTTTTTGTTGGAATTCTTATATGATCTAAAGTGGCTAGTTCAATGTTATAGGAAAATGTTCAAATTATGTATTTAGTTTACGATGATAGTTGCAAATTTTTATTGTAATTTTAGATACACTTTTTAATAAGACTAGCGATTTCTATTAAAAAAATAATAGTTAACAATTTTTATGATAGTTTTGTTAACCTTAAGACAAAATTAACATACACATAATAGTTTAGAGCCTTGGTGACAAATATAATAACTAACCAGTCACTAATGGCAAGCAAGATAGCTTGGGCCACACAACATTATTATATATTTCCCTAATTTTACGAATAAAAATAAATTATTTTCTTTACCAAGTACTAATCAATGGTTTGATTCAATGATTCCTTCATGTATAAGTAATGAACTGAAACTTCAACTGACAAACATGGAAATGGGAGATGAAGAAAAATAGTAAAAATCCCAGAATTATTTTCTCTCGTTTTTGGAGTAAAATCTGAGAACGACGTAGAAAAACAGGCGATAAAGAACTCCCCATGCAAGCAAGATAAGAATATCATACCAAAGGTTCTCCAAGTTAATTCCCATGGATGATATAACATCCTCTCCAATCATTGTGCATTGCAAGGTATCATTGTGTTTGGCATGCAAGTCACTGATCTTCAGCTCCCCTAAAGGACCCGGTGAAAGATCGGCTGGGTCTCCGGCGTAGCAGATTTCCTGGTCTTTGAACTCATTCACAAGCAAGGCCTCGAACGGGTATTTGATTGCCGAGATGTAGTGAAGCCACCTCCAATAAATGGGTATCTTGTTCCCTTTGAGGAAGAAACCACATGTGAGGAAGAAGAGAGCCGTGGTGGCGATCACGACGGCGTAGCCAGTGATGTAACTCGGGACGAGTGCGCTCACGAGCATCACGTATGCATTGGTTGTTATCAGAGATGCGTAAAGGATCAACCAGAAGTTTAAGAGGCTGCTGTTGAGGTGAAGCCAGTACTTGGTGATTGCAGCGAATGTGAAGCCTTGGATGGCGAAAAACGGGAGGTAGACAATGAGGGAGGAGATGACATAGGATGAAGCTCGATACGAGTTGTGGGAGGTTTCTCTGATGAAGATGAACCTTTCTTGTATGAAAGTCGGGACGGCATCGTTTGAGGAGAAGAACACCAAGCAGATTGCGAAGATGTAGAAATTGAGAAGCCGGTTAATTGTTTTGAAATCATAGTGGCTCAAGTTTCGGAAGAGTGAGGATAAGATGATTGCCATGACTGTCAATACTATCTCTCGTGAAAGGAAGAGTTCCGGGGTTCGAACCACGATGAGAAGGGTGCGCCACGAGAGGATTGCGACCTCTCTGAGCCATGGGTTCGCGAACTTGGGTCCATGATCTCGCTCATCCAGCACTTCTTCCAAGTCGAACTCTTCGTATGAAGGTGCATACGGTTCTATCGATGGGCTAAAAACAACCGGGGTCTTGTGGTGAGAAAAGGTGTTCGACTTTGTTGAGCCATTTGATGTCGGCCCGAAAGGAAACTCCTACCAGAACTAGGCGTTTGACCGGGAGTTCGAGCTGGAGTCCAGGATGGTGCACGGCGAGGATTCCGGTAACACCGCGGTATACCCAGACAGGGAAATCCTTGTAGAACTGAGAAGCCAAGCGTGGCTGATAAGCACTACTCTGCATACTCAATGGAGTCTGGGCCGGGAACCGGGAAGATTTACGTTCCAGAGAGTAGTCGAAGTCCTCATCTTCATCGTCGTCTTCATCATTGTAATCAAACCGGCCGGATTCTGATCGAGAAGTTCCGTTGGCAGTAGAGAAAGCATGGCTATGAAGGCTAATAGCATGCCTCGAGACAGGCGTTTTCACGAAAGAGTTCTTTCGTATTTTCGGTGTTCTCGGAACCGGAGTCCTCGCAACTTGATCAGGCTTGATACCATCACGTTGGTATAACACAAGGGGGTCGAGTCCTACAGTCGATTCATCGTACTCCTTGATAACATCGAGAAGATATTCAAGGCTGTTCTCGCCATCAGGAACCGGCCTTCCAAACCCAGACAGGTGAGCCGGCAGTGTGCTCGGGCTTCCCATATATATTAGTCTACCCCTGTAACATTTTATGCATGTACATATAGCTTAATTCATCAGCTAATCATAAATTTTATACGGTGAAGAGCTATTGATGTATTAAAGTACTTTTTGTACCTTGCTAAGACGGTTATACGGTCTAAGAGCAATTGAATTCTGTAGGAAGGTTGATGAATGGTCATGAGGACGATGCTACCACCACGAGCTATCTCCTTCACCTTCTCCACCACACTGTAAGCGCTCGTCGAGTCGAGACCTGACGTTGGTTCATCGAGGAATAACAGAGATGGCTTATGAATGATGTCGATACCGATCGACACCCTTCGCCTCTCTCCTCCAGACACCCCTCTCCTTCCTTCATCACCAATATATGTATGTGCAGCAGTCTGTATATAGACAGAACTATAAATATATCGTTTAAATTTCATCATACTATCTGTAATTGTGTTAAGGATAAAACTTACCTCTAAGCCGAGCTGTTTAAGCAACTCATTGACTCGATTTTTCTTTTCCTCCCTGGAAATTGAGGGAGGCAGCCTTACTTCAGCTGCAAACATGAAGGTCTCTTGAACCGTCAACATGGAGAACAACTGGTCGTCTTGCATTACATATGATGAAATCATCTTCATGTAGCTCGTAGTCACCTGAACCAAAGCATAACTAACGAGTGAGCTAAGATATATGTATATATCTATGTACATGTGTGTGTGTGAACTGACCGGCTTTCCATTGAGTCGAACAGACCCTTCGAGACTCCCACGAGCAATCCGACCAGCGAGGGCATCGAGAAACGTGGATTTCCCAGCACCACTAGGCCCCATGATGGCCATGACTTCGCCCCTCACGGCCTGGCCCGATATATCATTCAAAGATAAACATCTTTTTTGAACCATTCACCATCTTTCTTTTGCTTCTTGGTGACACTGTAAGACAAGTTACTGAACTCAAACCCCTGACCGGGAATCGTCTTCCTTGCCGGTACAGGTGGCATGCCGATAATCTTTCCTGCTGCGGCAGTTTTGTCCATGTCTAGAAGAGTCTCGAGGCTTTTATTCGCCGCATATTTCCCCGCCTTCGCCATTGGAAATCAGTTTAAACAGGCCCTGAAGTTTTAAGAGCTGGGCGTGGAGTGATGTTTAGGGGTTATAAAGAAGATAGAGATGAAGTTGCAGACAAAAGGGTGAGGTTGGAAAGTTCAGCCGGCCATGAGGAATGTATTGAGAGATTGCAGACGAAGAAGACAAACGAAGAAATGATCGGTAAGACGAATTTCTCTCTGTTTTTTCTCCTTTGGGTTTGTCGTTGATTTGCATTGACATTACCGGAGAGCTGCTAAAGCTTTGTTCCATCTAGCAAATGCGACAAATTACCTATTTATATTATATTTTCCATTTTTTAATTGTGAAAAATAGGAATTATGGTGTGATTTGGTGAATAATTAATTATACAGTAGAATGCTTCTGATTCTTTTTTCTTTTTAATTTCAGAGAACGTCTCAAACAAGAAAATGTGGTTTGATAATTGTCTAAGACTTAAAATATTTACCGTAATTTATTTTCCAACACTATATTACTTTTTTTTATGGAAAGGAGAATTATTATGACGCAATCTCATTAAAAATCTTCCTATACTTAGAGAAGAAGCATACACATGATAATAACACAAATACAACGGAAACTATTCAAACAAAACAAAACAAAAAAATCTAACAAAGCCAAGCACAACCAGCTTCCCGCAAATAAACCACCTTCAACACCAAGCTTTAACCAATATCCTCATGCAGCACGTTAATGATATCAGCAGGGGGAGAACAAAGCATTTGAGTTTCAACAATATCAGAACCTGCACTTTTCGCGAACCTGTTGTAATACCCAATGTAGTAACCGATTTTTGCCTAGGCACGAAATTTTACTTGACGGGAAAAGTGATGTGTGAATAAATGGTTTTTTTAAATGTTTTGGGAGTCGCCATCGACCTTTTGGATCAGGTAAGTCGAATACCTAAAAATTATCTTTTAAAAGAGTTTTTAAGAAAACATCAGTTAAAAAATAAACTGGTCTGCGTTTTAATAAAAAAATCATTCTTTTTAATAATAAAAAGATTCGTGGTTGATTACGTTTAGGGAATGATTAACACCCCACAACGCCCAAAATTAATACTTATTAATTATAAATTGTCTCTATTATTAGAAATTTAAATATTCAAAGATGTATTTAATTTATAATCCTGTTATTTCAAAATAATTTTATTTTTATAAATAAGATATTTATTTAGAAATACCAGAAAAAGACTTCAAGGTGCTTTAAGACAGCTCTTTTCTTAGTATTAAAAAATAAATAAATATTAATAAAACATTTATCTAAAAATAAATAATAGATTAATATATATAATTTATAAAAGTAAAATATTTATTTATTTAAAAATATCAGAAAATGAATATCCAGTTGCTTTAAGACTGTCCTTTCTTAATATTGAAAAATAAATATATATTAAAATATTATTTTTTAAATGTATTTTATAAAATTAAATTTATAAGTAGAATTTTAATAAAAAACAAATAAAACAAATAAATGAATATGACTAAATAATAATAATAACAATAATGATTAAAGTAATAATTTAAATATATTGAAATTGAAATGATAATAATATAAATTAAATTGCAATTAAACATATAAATAAATAAAACAATGACAAAATAAAGAAAACTAAAATTATAGGATTAAAATATAAGATATATAAATTAATAGACAAAATGAAAATTATAAAAAAACAGTGACAAATATATAAAATATAAAACCTAAAGATCCTAATTTGAATTATTAAAAAAGATATGTACTAACAGTGTAATTTAGCCTCAATATTAATTATCCAGGTTAAAATAAATTTTATTAAAATTACCAGGGACTAAATAAAGTATTTACCATAAATATGTAAGTATAATAATAGTGACTAAATTATAAATTAAATAAAACTATAAAGCTGAATTGAAATAATTAGAAGTTGATTTTAGTGACTGAAATAGAAAGTTACAAAACTAGGATGGCTACACGCATGATTCTTGCCAGATGGAAATTACACAGAAATCCCTCCCAAAACGACGTAGTTTAGAGGAGGATATAAATAGACCTTAAATAGCCTAAAATTCACAAAATTCCTCATTTCTTCATTTTGCTTCTCTCTCTAAGCTCTCACTTCTCTATAAACTTAGCCACCGGTCGGCCACCGGCCGATCACTATTCCGACTGTCAGCCACTATTCACGGTGGTCGAAAAATATAAAAATACCCCCAAATCATACATCGAAACACCCTAAAGCCGAATTCGGCCTCCATTTTTCTAAAAACTCATAGAATTTTCTAGATCTAAATTTATACCTTCGATATTTTGGTTTTTCGATGACGTGGTAAGCTTTGTCCTTCTTTTTCCTTTTAGTTTTTTACTGCTGGTGGTAGATTGGTTCTCTTGCTTCTTTTTTTTATTTGCATGTTAAATGGCCTTTTATAGGCCTTCAAAACACTGTTTGTTCGGTGAGTCACTGGATCTACGATGGTGACTCACCTTAGCTTCAATATGTGTGCAGCCGTCTTTATCTCTTCTGGAATCTTCATTGCAGCTGTGGTGATGTGGTAGCAACTGATTGGGGAACATGACGGCGGAGCAGTTGGAGTAGAGGCGGCGGAGTAGTTGGAGTAGAGGTGGCGGAGCAGTTGGAGTAGAGGCGGTGGAGAAGATGCTAAAAATCCTAGATGGATGTTGGGTCGGGTCTAGATCTGGGCTTCGGGTTTTGGATCTGGGCCTCCAGGTTCTAGATCTGGGCCTATAAAATTAATTGTAATTTTTATTATTTATAATAATAATAAATAATAATAATAATAATAATAATAATAATAATAAATGGGACAAAAACTTAGTGTTTATAGCTGCCCCTCTTTTCTCATTCTTGTATTAACAAGAATAGAGCAAAGACGAAAAAAAACAATAAGTTTTTGTCCAATTGACTTTTCTTAATTAAGACGGAAATGTTGAACAAATTCTTCTTATTATGAACTTCTTCTTCTTTAGGACTAGTTCTTCTCATTATGAACTCTTCCACTGAGAATGATAATCCATTTTGTTCTGTGATGAAATCTAGCAAAAGGTTGAACAAGTTCTTCTCATTATAAATTTCTTCTTCCTCTTCAGATGATTTCTTCTCATTATGAACTCCTTCTGGAAATGCTGACCCTCAAAAGAGGTGTCATTGATTCAACTTCATATATGATGAATTAAAGCAAGGTTGAACAAGTTCTTCTCATTATGAATTTCTTCTTCCTCTTCAGATGAGTTCTTCTCATTATGAACTCCTTCTGGAAATGTTGACCCTCAAAAAGGGGTTGTTAATTTGACTTCATATGTAACGAATTAAGGCAAGGTTGAACAAGTTCTTCTCATTATGAACTTCTTCTCCTTCTTCAGATGAGTTTTCTCATTATGAACACTTCTGGAAATGTTGATGTATCTATCTCCTTCTGTGATAGAGTCATACAAAGGTTAAACAAGTTCTTCTCATTATGAACTTCTTCTTCCTCTTCAGATAAGTTCTTCTCATTATGAACTTTCTTTGGAAAAATTGATGTTGATATGTCTCCTTCTTGATAGAGTCATGCAAAGGTTGAACAAGCTCTTCTCATTATGAACTTCTTCTTCCTCTTCAGATAAGTTCTTCTCATTATGAACTTTCTCTGGAAAAGTTGATGCTGATATATCTCTATCTGTAATAGAGTCATGCAAAAGGTTGACCAAGTTCTTCTCATTATGAACTTCTTCTTCCTCTTCAGATGAGTTCTCTCATTATGAAACTTCTGGAAATTTTGATGCTGATCTATCTCTTTCTTTGATAGAATCGAGCAAAAGGTTGAACAAATTCTTCTCATTATGAATTTCTTCTTCCTTCTTCAGATGAGTTCTTCTCATTATGAACTCTTCCGGAAATGCTGATCCATCGAGTGATGAATTCAACCAAAAGGTTGAACAAGTTTTCTCATTATGAACTTCTTCTTCATTCTTCAGATGAGTTCTTCTCATTATGAACTTTCCGGAAATGTTGATCCATCGAGTGATGAATTAAATCTTTGCTAAAATCTTTGAAATTCATGTCAAATATTTAACATGGATAAAATGAATGAAAATGCCCCTATTTTGTAAATGTCTAAATATGATGCATGAATGTTAAGTTCATATTTATTTGATTTCAAAGTGGTGAACTCAGTCTTCCTTCAATTGTGTAGAAATCCAACAAATCTTTCTTCTTTGAAAAGAGAATCTATCATCTTTGGAGAGTGTAGATGTAGATATGCTTGAATTTTTGTATGAAGTCACAAAACCACTTGAGAACAAAACTCAATGGTATAGGCTCTTGAAAAGTCCACACTCATACAACATGTCGATTATGATAACTATTTATCTGATTATGAAATTATCTTTCAGGATGATTTCACAGATATTGATAGTTCTTCTGATACCGAGGAAATCCTGAATTTTGATTCTGATAAGGAGAATAAACTATTATACTTGACGAAAATGGGGTACTAAGAGGATGAGGCTTTAATAGCCATGGAAAGATGTGGTCTGATTCTTCAATTGTAGAGTTGATAGATTTTATATGTGCTGCTCAAATAGCTAAGGCTGATGCACACTTCTTCGGTAGAAGATAGGAAACCATTATGCAATGACCCCAATTACAAGAAAAGGCAAAACTTGGGCTATAATTTTTGGAAGAGGAAGAAGCAGAGGAATCTTGAAAATAAGCTTCTTAATGAAGACGATCATGCAGTTCATCTTCCAAATCTAATGATTGGTTTTGGGGTTCCTATCGAACCAGATCAGATAACTCAAAGAACACTTCTAGAAGATGCTATTGGGCCTCCTTATTTCTACTACGAGAATGTGGCACTTGCTCCAGTTGGTGTTTGGACTGAAATGTCACAGTACTTATATGATTTAGAACCAAAATTTGTAAATTCGAAGTATTTTTGTGCTGCTTCACGGAAAAGGGGCTATATTCATAATCTGCCAATTGAGAACATATTTCATCTTATTTGCTTCCAAAT